ATAGCCCAAATGAGGTTCAGAACAAATGTCAGTAACCCACCCTGTTTTTTTTTCTCACAGGGGGGATCCAAAGCAGCTGACATTGTTCTTCCCTCCTCCATTTTATCCTCAACAACGATCCTGTGAAGTAGATCTGGCAGAGTGGGGATTTGAACCTGGATCTCCTTGATGCCAGTCTTCTAACCACTGCACCACATGGGCCCTAATAGGTCGGGGAAGTGGCTAGCCCCACGGCGTTTTTTCCAGAGGGGATATTTTCCACCCTCCAAGTCTGTGCTGCCTACGCTTTCCTGGCTTCTCGTGAGCAAAGCTGTTGCTTCCATTGCAAATAGCAGAGGAATGTTGTAGAGCTGATCTCCCATCAGGATGTTTGGATTCCCTTCATGTCTCGCACTGCCGCTCCTATGATCATTCTGAAACTGGTAGCCAAGTTTTGAGTCTCCCTAGCTTCAATTTCTGAGGAGTTATGCATGCCACAGACAAATGGATGGATGCTTTCCTATTTTAAGGAAAGACCTTTGCTTACAATGTAAGCCTTACTTGCCACCAAAGGATTCACACGGGGGAGAAGAAACCATATAAATGCTTGGAGTGTGGAAAGAGTTTCAATCAAAGTTCACACCTTAACTTTCACCACAGGCCCCTGCCACACGGCAGGGAAAAGATGGGGCGAAGCGCGGCTTTTAAAAGCTGCCCCAAAAAAGAAACGCCACGGCGGGATCCCACGGTAGCCGCGCTCCGTTGCTAGATACTAGTCGGAGGGGGAGGCTGACTGAGCATGCGCAGTACGGCAGGGGGGCGGGGATGCGACGGTGGCAAGACGCACCGCTGATCCCATGGCAAGGATGAAGCGGACCAACCGGATGAACCACCGAAGGTAGGTGGTTCATCTTTGACGCGCTTCATCGGGGGAAGGGCCGGATTGGAGGCGGGAGTGCGACACCAGGCAGATGTTGGCGTGGGATCGCGCCCGTTTGATGCGCTTCCGATCCGGCCCGCGCCCAGCCCAAACTGCCTCGTATGAACGGGGCCACAGAATTCACACACGAGAGAAACTATATAAATTCATGGATTGTGGGAAAAGCTTCAATAAAAGCAACTCACTAGCTTCTCACCAAAGGAGTCACTCAGGAGAGAAATCATATGTGCTTGGACTGTGGAAACAGCTTCAGTGATGGTGAAAAACTTATGTCTCACCAGAAGGTTCACACAGGAGAGAAACCATTCAAATGCTTGGAGTGTGGAAAGAGCTTCAGATGCAGTGAGTTACTAACTGTACATAAAAGAATTCACACAGGAGAGCAACCATACAAATGCTTGTAATGTGGAAGAAACTTCGCTCAGAATTCTCAACTAACATTGCACTGCAGAAATATGAAGCTAAACAGAACTGATTCTGAGGTGACAGTTTGGATATACTGCAATAACACAAAGCAATTTAAAGGGTTTAAAGGTTGGGAACAAACCAAGGGGGTTAAATGCCAAAAGTTAACTAGTATATATCATTCTGCATTGCAAATGTTATGAGTACCTCAAAAAGGGTTTTAATATATATATAATCCTGTGTCTTTCAGCATTGTTTAAATTTAATTCTTACGACCTTGCCAAGTGCCATACGGGTCAAAGAAATCAAAACCTAACAAATGCTGAGGTTGTGAACAGTAAAATAAAACCTCTGGAACACTGGAGCAAGTGCCCTCCTGAATGCAAAAATGTATCTGAGGGTAAGATAACGGTTTTAAGCTAGCTAATAAATAAACTTATTTATTTATTTATTTGATTTCTGTTCTGCTCTCCCCCACAATAATGGGGCTCAGAGCGGATTACAACATAAACAGGCAGTTAAAATTTTTTAAAATGTATATACATATCAAACACTTAATCAGATGGTGTATATGATGTCACTGTTCCCGGGGAGAGATGGAAGGGGGGAAAGCAGAGGACAGGACAGTATATAGTAGACTCTCTGATCTTATCCATAAGCCTGGCGGTATAGTTCTGTTTTACAGGCCCTAAAGAACTGAGCTAAGTCCTGCAGGGCCCAGATCAGGCCCATAGCCAGGAATTTCTAAGTTGGGGGGCATTTAAATTTCTCGGGGGGGGGGTTATCCAATTTAAATAATTATTTCTCTTGTGCAACCCCCCCCCCTTCTTGGATCTCCAACGCAGCCATCATCCCCAGACCTCCTTCTCTCTCTCTCTGCCATCCCCCTGCCTGTTTCCAGCCACCTGGCTCTCCCTTCCCTCCATAGGGTGGGCTGGGAGATCACATGAGCCCACTCAGCTCCCTCACTGCTCTTGGCCAGCAGCTTCTAAGAACATAAGAGAAGCCAATGTTGGATCAGGCCAATGGCCCATCCAGTCCAACACTCTGTGTCACACAGTGGCCACAAATACCAGGTGCCATCAGGAGGTCCAGTAGTGGGGCCAGGACACTAGAAGCCCTCCCACTGTTGACCCCGCCACCCCAAGCACCAAGAATACAGTGCATCACTTGCCCCAGCCTGAGAGTTCCTATCTATACCTTGTGGCTAATAGCCACTGATGGACCTCTGCTCCATATGCTTATCTAATTCCCTCTTGAAGCTGCCACCACCTCCTGTGGCAGTGAATTCCACGTGTTAATCACTCTTTGGGTGAAGAAGTAACAGAGAATATGACACACACCCTTATGAACTACAGGAATGGAGTCTTGTAGTGATGCAAGTAGGCAATACTTCATATTGTGTGGTGTTTGATAACTCATCATATGCTGTAGTTCAAATAGAACCTTACACCACAGTTCTTTACCAGTGGCAGGGCCTCTTTATGTGATTAAATGTGTCCCCCAACTTGAACGTCTTCTAACAGATAAGTAGGTTTGTATTGAGAATTCCATTCAATTGTTTCTGAGGTTAAGTACCATTGATAAATAAGCTTATCAAACATTTCCGTCATTCAGGCCTTTTGTTCTGGGGGAACACACCAGAACAAGAGTTCCGGAACCTCTTCAGCAAAATTCTTTTAAAAGTGTTTAAAAGTTCATGGGTTTTCGGTATACAGACTGAAAACTTTATTTCCCTCTCGAGAATTCCAGCACCGCTTTTTCAAAGAAAAGAAAAGACAAGCCCTGGTCATATTAATACATATAGCAGAAGTGGTGCTGCACTTGCATAGTTAATCCAAAACAGTGAGCATGTTTACATTTTGAGACTGAAAGTGAGTTGGGGAGGGGGAGCGGGCAAGCAGAAAAGAGAAGAGGAATGGTGCGAAGTTAAAGTAGAGGGCAGCAGGAAAGAAGCAAAAGGTGGTAGGAAAGGAATCAGGGAAACAGAAGAAATGGCAAAGAGGGAAGGGAGGATTAGAGGTCCAGTGGCAGAGGGGTGGAACTGAGAAGCAAAGGAAGGAAGAAAATGGGAAAGAGAGAAGAAGTTGCAAGAACTATGAGGGGGAAGAATGGAAGGGAGATTGTGGGAGCAGAAAGCTCAGTAAGAGGAGATGAGGTCCCCTGCTTGCCCTCTTTTAAGCCTCTATGAGGAGTACAAGGAATTCCAGTGTTATCTAGGGAGAAAATCAAGTGATCTGACCAACGTAAGAATGTAAGGAGATGAGTATGAAGTATCCCAAAAGCACAGTATGAAAATGATTTACTATAGATGGGAATTCAGCTAACACTGAAAGGTAGAAAGCAGAAAAAATTCTCAGTATGTCAAGAGAGTTTAAAAGTACACAATCACAAACATTCTGCTTTTCTGACTGTCTCATATGTTCGTATCTCTACACACACACACACACACACACACACACTACAGTACTTTAAGGCCATATTCAAAGTGGTGTTGACATATCTTCTTTAGATTTGGAGATAATTTTGATAACATGGCACGTCTTTTAAGATCGGGAAGTAACAGCACCATAATACTTCACCAATAGGAGAATGGGCCCCTT